TTGTAGCAGTTGTTTTTATAGCTATAGGAGCAGATATTATGATATCATTTATTCTTAAAAAGACTGTTTGGGCTCAATCAGATAAGAAATAAAAAAGTATGTTATTTACTACATTATGCTTTTATATTTATGTTTTCTTTATCATTTATTAAGAAATAAAACAAAAAAAAGGGGTTTTTTTTTAAAGAATTTTAATTTGTTATTAAAACAATAATAAAACAAGAAAGAAAAAGATAGGAAAGATTAATTTCTTCTTATTTTAATCTTTTTCAGATTCATTTACTTTTTCATTGTTATGAATAACACAAGTAATACTTCTACACAAAATGAAAATAAAAATGAATCAATTATTGATAAAAAAGATTCAATGAAATGTATTGAATGTGGATGTGATATTGATAATACTTATGAAATATTTTGTGGTCAATTTATAAGACTTTTAAGATGTCCAAAATGTGGTAAAGTAGCTGATAAATATATAGAATATGATAATGTATTAGTATTTCTTGATATGCTTTTACAAAAGAGACCAGTATATAGACATTTATTATTTAATCATGATGAATCAATAAATGGGTTTTTTATAAAACTATTTTTTGGTTCATTATTATTAGAATCATATATTCGTCAAATGACAACATTAACACCATCAATTTATTCATTTATTTGGAATGGAATTCAGATAGTAATAGAAGATATATTTTTCTTAGCAATGTTTATTATTCCATTTAGTTTTTATAAAAGAATTAGTTTTAAAGATTCATGTAATTTAGTTGCTCAATCATATCTTATTGGGTCATTGGGAAAAGTATTTCTTTGTTTAGTTTTAATGTGGACAAATTCATTACCAATTTATTTATTTTCTATAACAATGGCAAATTTAACTTTTATTGCATGTATGAGTGTTGTATTTGAAATATCTACATGGAAAATGTTAATTATTGGTTTTGTAATTGGAATAATATACACAATTATTACATCTCAATTCTTCCCGTTAACTCCATTAACATATTATATTAAAAATAAAAGGTTATTAGATTTATTAATTGGAGATCTTTATACTTTTTAAGTAAGTCAATAGTTTTTACTCTATTTTACATCTTTCATTTCTAAATGACTATAAAAAAAAAGAATAAAAAGAAGAATAAATATTTATAATTTCATTAACCAAGATTGAACATTTGGTAATGGATTAAAATGAAAACTTATTGTTTGTGCATCTCTTATTGATAATATAATTCTTCCTAATGATCGTATCTTTTTAACATTAACCAATTTTTTTTCTTCATCAAACATTACTGGTAATTCATTTGTATGAAACAAATCACCCATCCAAACAAATAATATTGGAAGTTTTGGATAATTAGATTTATTATATACTTCTCTATACCTTTTATAATTTGAAGTTAATGAAAATAATGAACGAAGTTTAATTAAATCATTTTGAAGTTCTTTACTTAATTTATTAAAATCAACATCATTTATAGCTACATGAAGTGATGAGAAGATTGTTGAAGCAACATTAAAATTACCTAATTTAACTAATGTAAGTGTTAGTCTAATAAAGAATTTTTCATTTTTAATTCGTTCAAGTGAATTAGATGTTATAATTGAAGAAACTAAGTCACCTAATTTACTTATAAATTTACTATATGAATCTATGGAATGACAATGTTCTTTTTTGGTTATAATTTCATATAATTTAATTGACCTTAATTTGGCTTGATCAAATAATGTTAATTGTTGTGCAAATTGTAATCTAATTTTATCATTAATAACATGTTTTACTGTTCTATTTGCATGTTTATAATTTTTATATTCTTCAAACATTTCTTTTATTTCTTTTATTGATTTATATGGCATATTTAATTTTCCTTCATTTATTTCATGAAGTGATGGTGACATTAATGGTGACCTACTTCTTGCTCTTCCAATAAGAGCGTTAATTACAACTCGTTCTTGTTCGTTAAATCCTTGATATTGAATTGTTTTTGATCTTTTAATTTTTTCAAGCAAAAATGGACATTCTCTTGAGAAATATTCTGCATGCATTTCTAACCAACCTCTAAATAATGAATAGAGCCTTCTTGAATATAAATTTTGTTCTAATGAATTTAATTGATTAGAAGAAATTTCATCTCCTAAGTAACAAGTAATTTTTTCAAGATATTCAATAAATAAAAGAGGGTCTATAATAAATATAGAAAATATAGCGAAATGTTCAATAAAATTACTTTCTATTAATGTGTTATTAAATACAAATTGAAACATTGTTTGAACTGATGCAGCCATTAATAAAGATTGTTCTGATTCCTCATCATCATAAAATAAAGGATCTCCAGCTTCAGGTTCAAATACTGTGATTGAATCTTTTAATGCTTGATATAAAGATTGTATTTTTTCTTTTTCTTTTTCACAACAGAAACATATGAATAATTGGTTTAAAGTCATTTCTTTAATTTCTCCTTCTTCTAACCGATCAATCATTTGAATCCATTTTAATAAACATTCACGATGTGTTTTTTCCATTGTCCAAATAAAAATACGTAAAGATATTATCGTTTGTTCTTCATTTATTAATGATGGAATACAATTTTCATTTAATACAAACCTAAGTCCAATAGAATTTGATCCTTTTAATATCATAACTAATGCTATTTCTGAAGTTAATTTATGTTTTTTTTCTTCCCAGAGAGATGAGTAACAATAAGATGAAGATAAATATAATGACTTAACAGTCTCTTCATCAATCGGTTGTTGTACAAGTTTAAAAAGTGATAAAAATGATGTTCCAATTTGTGCAGTTGTCCCAACAATAGAATTAATTGATATATTAGAACTTACTTGTTGAATATTTCGTGAGATATCATTAACTTTTGGTCTAACAATAACAGGATGTTTTGGTGCTTCTTCTAAATCCATTGAGACAATTTTACGAATTTTAAAGTTTGTTTTATTCTTTATTTAGTTATTATTTGTTTTATTTAACAAATATATACCAGAGAAATAATAACAAAAGAAGAATATCCGTGAATTAAAAAAATATGTTAATAACATATTTTGCTATTGTTTTATTCAGAAGTAAATAATTAATTTATCTAAACATATAATTTCAATAACTATTAAACAAAATTATCATTTAGATTGACTTTAAGTCAAAAGGAAGAGTATTAAATGTTATAGTATTGTTATTCATCATTGAAAATTAATTTTATATAATTTAGATAGTTATTTTTTGTTTCTATCTTCTTCTTTTTTTTATGTTTTTATATGTGTAGAATGTTTATTTGGTGTTATGCTTCATTATTATTAATTGGTCCAATATTTTATTATGTTAATGTTAATTTTATTTTAAATGTTTTATTTTGAAGATTTTTAATTCAAAATGAATTTTTCTTCTCTCTCTGCTTGTTTTCTTTTTTTTTTAATAAAGATTATCAAATATTTTTTGATTATTATTTTTTATTAAACAGAATTTAATGCACTTTTACTTAATAAGAGAATCAAAACTCTTACTCTGTACTAACCTTTTTCTAGATATTCTCGTTTATATTCACACTGAAGTATGTTGTTTTTAATTCTTATTTAATAATTCTATTTTTTTCTTTGTTCAACTTTCATTTCCTTCATTTATTACTTTATATTTTTTTTGTAAGTAATATCCCTATGAAAAACCATTATTATTTCTTTGATTTTATTAAAGCACAATTATTAGTTATTGTTAATATTCTTCTTATCTCTTTTTACTATGTTATTTGTATTAAAACATTTTTATTAACCATTTTATGTTTTATTTATCATTTCTAAACAATGGTATTTATTATTATTAAATCACTTCATTATAACAAGTGTGAGTATGTTGATTTTACTCATTAATTTGTTGTTTATAATAATGGATTATATTTGAATCTTCCTAAACAAAATTCCTTAGTTAGACGTTTTTATTCTTTCAACAATAACAAAGGTGTTTTTATATTACATACTACTTTCTCAGTTCATCTACATAAATCATTAAGTCTTAACATTTTGTTGTTTTGTTCTACTTCTTATCATCTAAAGTTATTGAGACATCTAATTGTTTTCTGTATGTTTTCGATTTGAGTGGAAAAGATAAAATTTAACTCCAATCAATAAAATGAAAAATAATAAAGGTTGGTTATTTTAAGGAAAAACTCAAAATAGTCTTAGAATTAACAAGGTTTAGCAATTTTCTTGGCAATTTGGGTATGATAAAAATAGCCTTTTATTGTTGATTGTTCTTTTATTATTTCCATTAATTAAAGAATATAAAAAACCTCTCTTTTCATAACGTAAAAAATCAATTCTGATAATGTCTAGTTAACTCGTCATCTTTTCTTTCTGTTCTTTAAAAGCAAAATCCTTCAAAGGTCTTTCAAATAAAAGTTGTAAATTTGAACTTTCAATTAAACAAAACAACCATATTCTTTGAAAAAGAAGATATTATCATAACTCTTCAAAAAAAAAAACTACAAAAACAAATTATTGTTTTTAAGGATAAATAAGATTAAAAGATTATCTAATTGTTCAAATGGTTAAAAATGAAAGAACTAAAAATTTAATTGAGGATTTTATTTTAATAAATTAATCAGTCTAATAATTTCAAACCCAGTAATGTATGGAAAAATAAAGGTATTGCTCAATATAATTAAATCTTCCACAATCTTCTCTCAAACTATCAAAAATAACTTTTCCTATTTATAAAAATTTTCAATTTTTGTAATTTTATCAATTTATTAATTTACATTTATTTTATTATAAATATACTATTTACTTATAGCATCTAAAAGTATTTTGTTTAAAAATAAACCTCCATAAGGATGATACAAGAAAAGGAAGCAGAACGGGAAAATAATCAAATCATTAAGATAATCCCCCGAACAGACACTTTGTTGTTTCCTGAGATACAAATGCAGAAATTCTTCGACACCAAAAGAAAGAAAAGAAACCTAAGATGAAACTCAATAGTCACAAATCAATGAGTTTCCTGAGGAATATCATTAATGGAATAAAGTCGTCATTTCTAACAGACCCCAGTATTCCTAAGTCAAGATATGTAATTTTAAATAAATTACATTCAGCTCGATTTAGTAAAGTATATCATTGTAGATTAAGAGAGTCAGGAAAAGAAGTCTGTGTTAAAATTTATCAAGTAGGAGAAAAAGAACGGAATAATGAAGTATTAGAAACACAAATATTAAATGAGATTAGTATATTAAGAAGAGTAAATCATCCATGTATATTAGGATGTTTGAATGTCTACTTAACATCACATCGAGCAGTGATGGAGATGGAATATATGAATGGAGGAGATTTGTTTGATTATCTTGTGAAGAATGGAATTCAAAATGAACAAGTAGTTCGACAAGTTGCTATACGATTAATGAGTGCAGTAAAATATCTTCATAGTGTAAGTATTACACACAGAGATATTAAATTAGAAAATATGTTACTTGAAAAACCCAACGATATTTCTTCAGTCAAGCTCAGTGATTTTGGGTTATCAGTTGAAACTGAAAAAGAGACATTGATGACTGAACAAGTAGGAACTTCTTATTATATGGCACCTGAATTATATCGAAGATTGCCTTATGGTAATAAAATAGATTGTTGGTCATGTGGTGTTGTTCTTTATAGTCTTCTTTGTGGAACATTTCCATTTGCAGGTGAAGATCAAGAACTTGTTTCACACATATTAAGAGGAAAAGTGACATTTCCAAATGACATCAAAATATCTGATGATTGTAAAGATTTTATTTTA